AAGTGTAACTTATGATCTGTTCAATTTGTGTAAATAAATGATTGCATAGTCTTTTATGAATCAACTTGAACTTGTCTGAATGTTCACTTATTGTCACTTTTCACTTCGCACACAACCTTGTGTATGAGAGATGTGGGAAAAGCTTAATTCACCTTAAGCTCACTCCTACATATTGGTGGCAACGTGTATATATATATATAATATATATATAGTATTGTCACATGGACAATGCCATTTTATTAACACTGCAAATCATTTTGAGTAAATCTCTTGGGTTCCGGTGCGAGACTCTTATCCACCCTGAAGGTAAACTTTGGACAATATCTGACAATCAGCTCTTTTAAATGAAACCAGCCTTGACAGAGAGGAGAATGTAGACATGACCCAGCCTGCTACTGAAATGTGGATGGAGGACAACAGAGRTYCTTCAWGCATTGAATAACCTCAGTTTAGCCTGTTAGCTTTTATGCTAGCGCCTAGCTAATACAAATGGCAATATAARGCCCTAGCTAATATTGTTAGTCTGGGAACTAAGCTCAAATGTATATTAAACTAATAAATATGTGGCATTAGTTTATACATAGCTAACACTATATCACCATAAGTATTAGCTCAGCACTAATGCTATATGGCTATATAAATATGTATTAACTCAGCAAATTTATAACAAACAAAAGAAAAACCAAACAGCCTATAGTATTTTTACAGTCTTTGTTTTACAGTTCAAGTATTTTTTTATGATATACTTTCTAATGTTACATGTAATTGTGGATCACTTTAACATGTATTTGTGATATAGCATTATTTTTTCTTCACATCTGTTACTTTTGTTGTCCTGCTTTGGACCTCTCAGTGTTTGTCCATACACCTGGGAAATACTGACATAAAAATAAGCATGATTAATTGTGGCATTTAGCCGATAACGATTAATATGATGATTAATAGATGTGCGCTTGCATGTAGCCAACCATGTGGTCTTTCCTCCTTCTCCGGTTTATGTCCGTTTTTCAGGTGATTAAACAAGTTCTTAGTTAGCTTTAGCTGCTCCACAGCACCTTCCACCGTAGTGTGCACAAAAACACATAATGTTCCAGCATTAATTGCAAAGTGACAAATAGTAATTGTTCATGGATTTACTGATAATTAATTGCACACACCAGCCGTATTCGTACTATCTGCACAAARGACAAACACGTGGTTTAAAAAAAAAAAAGCAGGATTGAAATCACTAGAGTCCAACCCTGGAAGCTGTTCTGTTTGACTGCACTGAAGTGTCTTTACTTGAGACAAGTCACTCAAAAACTGTGTCGCTGGTTTTAAAATGCAGGATGTGACGGTGGAGACAAGTGAGTTCAAACAGTAGACGGAGGAGAGGGAAAGAAATGGACTGCTCTAGTTTTGAGAACAGCCTCAGGCTCATGTTCCTCCAAAGACAATCACGGTTTTGTTCGTGCCCGACTTACATTTTGTTCTCTGAAAGCACTTCAGCTCGCACGATGTGATCTGTCCGTTTGCAGAATGAATGCCTCAGAGCAAGCTTTGAACTTTGAGTCAGGAAATAAAACTAAATTTATAGGATGGAAGTAAAATTTCCAATACGTGTCCAGCAATTGTAGAACTAAAATKCCCCCCCCCCTGAATGTTTAATTGCTTTGAGACCCATCAGACGTCTGGGGGTCTCTTTGGTTTTGAACGGAGTTAACAGCCGTCAGTTTCATCATGCATCACGTAGCTTATGTGTCATTGAGCAAGGGCGAATCAAATATTTAGGCCCTCAGATTTAAAAATATGTTGAACATAGTAATAAATAAGTCATCTTGTTTTTAAACCACACTTCAGTGATTTTTCTCAGTTATTACTGTTGAAATGTTCCCTGTTTGCACTCAGAGAATAATATATTTCTCATTCATATGAAACAAACATGTATCTGTCTGAATGAGTTTAACTGTGGACTCTAACGTGGTTGTCTCAGTTAATTGTGCCGAATGCTTCCAGTCTTTAGCTCACATATCCCACTAAATCACTAAAACAAGACAGGTAACGGCACACGTGCTGCCATGTTGCTAATCATTAGAGGGAAATGAACCGAGAAGCGAGATCGCTTRGTTTCAAGCTGCCACTTTTTAAAAGATCAAACCCTGATTTCAGTGATAAGTTTGGGGAAAAAATGAACGAGCTTCATTGCCTTGTGAAACAGCTCTGACAGCAGCACATAACTCTCTCAACGGGAGCTTCTGTGATTATGAAGCGACTTATGAATAAAAACTGAGCGGTACATTTAGGAAGGTAAAAACTTTAATGTTTGGTACTTATTTGCTTGAGCAGAATTTTACTATTATAACAGGTTACCTTTTCACAGAACCATCAGATTTCCTGCTTCGTGCTTTAACAGCCCTTTAGGTTTTTTTGTTTCATGTTGCCTTGCTGCGTCTTGTTCTGATGCGTGTTGTTGGGTCTCGGGGCCATCGGGTGTCAGTCAGAGGCCTCGTACCTCCGCAGGTGGCAGAAGATTGTCTGGTTTCCAACAGGGGTGGTTCATATTAATAATGCATGCATTGCTGCTCTGAAAGGCAGTTTTATTGCTTTCACTAAATGGCACGTATTAATCATCTCAATGTCTTTTAATGACTGATGAAGAGTGAAGAGCAGTGATTCATTTCCACATTCAACCACCCTAATTCACATTCCCTTTGTTTGTTCTAATACTTCGAATGATTGATTTGCTTTATCTGTCCGTAAGTGAGAATCATTGGTGTGTAAATGAGCAGCGGGAGGTGGTAGCTGCTGACTGACGTCTCTTWTCTAACTCTGAAGAAAGCTTCCTGGTGACATCACAGCATGTTGTCTGAAGTGATGCAGCTGACGGAGGAAACGTCTGCACACACCAAGGAATTAGAGAATCTCCTGAGATCTTATGTCTGCTTGTTTCGCACAAAATAGATAACGATCCAAATCCAAATTTCATCTAACGCTTTAATAAATTCTAATCCAACGTGCGTACTGTAGCTTTAACAGAAAGTTTGAAATGACTGTTGGTCTCAGAGGTCTGTTTATTGAATAAAATAACTTAAGTAAAAATACCTCAACAGAAAACGAGTATGGTAAAAATTAATTTCTCTAATGGGAAAAGTACTTCACAGGGTTCATGCAGGGTCTTAAAAAGTCCCAGATTTAAGGCCTTAAATTTTATTTTGTCGTCAATTTTTTAAACTGTCGYTCATTCCTGAGAAGCGTTGGCGGCAAAAATAAACAGATTAAAATGCAAAAGTATGTTTTCAATGACACTTGGCTTGATATCAGTGATTTTTGCACTCAGTTGGAAGCTGTGCACAGCAGTCGATATGAAGGTCTCATAGATATGACTGTTTTATTCAAAAACCTTTATGTTCTTGTATTAAAATTCTTTAATAGCTAAATTGAAACCAATAAAAAGGTTTCTATGTTAAAATTTCTTGGACCTTTTGAATGTTTCTGATAATGCATCATTTTGGTTTAAAATGCCATTCCTAGTGGTCTTAAAAMTTATTTTAAAAGGTCTTAAATTTAACTTACTGAAACCTGCATGAACCTTGACTTCAGTAAAAGTCATAAAACTGTTCGCAAAAATTGGGAAAATAAAAGTATAAACTGTTGAATTGACTGAACCACTTAACAGTCTTTGTTCCACTGGTGGGCAAAGATAGTGGGATTTCTGCTTTTAAGCATTTCCAGATGGTAACGGGGGCTTTTATTTTGAAAAATAGTGTATCAGCTAACTTCCTCTGGCTCTTACCTTTAATTCGGCACCCTTAAAAATGTTGAAACACTTTTTTAGTTTCAGGGGCGACTGGTTAACGAAGCTGGTTCCACTAAACCAAGCTGAGTAAAATAAAGCGATAAACACATTTATTTTAAATAAAATGTTTATTGCCTTAATTTACTCTTCTAGATTAAGTGGAACCAGCTGACATAACTTGAGGAAATTCAACACTTTTTTAGAGCACAAAAATAACCTTTCATGATGAGTTCAGACAGATTTTATTTTGTAACGAGTAACTAGGTGTTAAAATTTAAACTAAACAAGTAAAAGTATCAGTTTTAAATGTAACAAAATAAAAGTAAAATAAATGATAAAAAATACTTAGTAAAATTACAAATCCTTAAAAAAATAACTTAAGTACTGTAACAAAGTAAATTTATTCAGTTACTATAAACCTCTGGTAAGTCTTTTAGTCAAGTCAAAGATGCAAGTGTTTTTCAAAGGCTGAAAAATTTAATGTACATAACTTTAATTTTTTTAACGTTTTTAGTTAAACCTACTAAAAGAGTTGATTTTTTTGCATTTCTAACATATTTTGGTGTTACAATCTAAATTTGTTCAAATGAGAAACCAAGCATTTATTTAATCTTTTCAAAGAACCTGCCAGAAACTGAATTTCAGTTTTTGTTTTGACGTTCTGATGCTCCTGTTTCTTGTTTTCTATATAAAAATGTTTTTTCAGCATTACACACATATAGATTTCCCCCTAATATGTTTTTACTGCATCTGTTGCATATAGTGTCTGCAGGAAAAAAATCTTTTCTGAAAGGATTAGTCTGCCCCACACAGCTGAGGCCTTTTGTGGCTGTTTTAACCTCTGCATAGATCATAGCTGCTAAACCCTCCAGCTTCAACCCAAACATACKGTCTGTGTGTCACCAGCGTCTCTTAAGCTCCTCGCTCCACAACATATGGCACAAACTAGGAGTCACTCTGAAACTCACACAAGTCAGAGACTCTCTAAAACCTGATGTTAGCAGATTACAGCAGATTTGGTTTTGGGGATTTATCTTCCCAGTTTGCTTTCTTGCTTTCCAGTAATGCTTTCCTCAAAAGATTATTTGATAATAAGTCATTTGAAAGTGACAGGTTGTTTTATGTCCTACTTATTAACACCTCAGAAGAGTTAAGTCAACTTAAGAAGAATTTCAGTGTTACTTGGTGGAGGGGAAGCTCTGTGTTGAGCAGCGCTCTGACTCACCTTGTAAGGCAGGACCACAGCAGACCCTCCGCTGATGCCCACGATAGGAACGGCCGTCTGGGTGGAAATGAAGTCCAGGATCTGCGCCACAGCCTCAGAACCAATGCTGTCCTCGAACACCACACCATGGACACGGTTGGTGGAGAGGGTGTCGCAGATGCGGGTGAGCAGAGCCCGCGGGTTTGTGTTGTTGACCAGAACCGTGATGGGGTTCACTTCCAGAGGCAGGTCCATGAAGTTCTCTCGGCTCAGACGACCCTTGATTTCCGTCTGGTACGCGGGGCCGCTGAACACCACCGCCACGTTCACGGAGGGCGAAGGAAAGCCGAAGGGCCGGCCTGAGCAGAGGGCGACGGRGCAGAGCAGCAGCAGCGGCAGCCACCACGGGGAGTCGCTCCAGGAGCCTCGACCAACACCCATCTCACTCACCTACTGCCTGAGGGAGGGGTCAGGGTTGAGGGAGGGGTCAACAGAAATGATTGACAAATTAGAAAGATGAAGTAATTTACACCTTTTTGAAAGGTTCTGTTATGTTGGATTATAAATCATCCAGGACATAATCTGAAGTGGGTAAATAGAAGGCAACTAGATATGGGGCGCAGAGTGTAAACTGAAATGTTAAAAAAATTCACTGACACATCTTTCATTATTTAGTCCACTGTTCTTACATTTTTCCTAAATGTTAAATTTAAATGTTAAAAAATATATTTAAATATTAAATCCTAAATCTAAATCTTTAAATCTAAATGTAAAAGTTAAACTTCAAATGTTGAAATTCACATTTATGTGTTTTGGAATGGAATGCAGCCTTTGCTGTTGGTGCTGGGCTCACATTATGATGTCATCATCCTGAGACATTAGCAACCGCTAGCTCCAATGCAGCTAAAGCTTCCCTACAAGACATCAAATTTGCAGTTATGGCTGCTGGACCACAGGGACCCCCCATGTTGTTTTTATGATCATTATTAGAATTTAAATTTTAAYTATCTTCAGCAGCATTAAAGTGTTAGCAGTAGTTGGTGTCAGCTAACCCATCTGCAACCAACATTAACATGGCCGCTGCTAGCCACCYCTAATGCTGCTGAAGCAGCTGTGTCCCAAACGGCAGGCCATGTCCTCCAAATGACAAAGTATTAACAACAAAACCACTTGAAAATTTTCATTTCTATACCACCATATTTTTTATTTAAAACATTTTTTTCCTCTCGCTTCGTCCGCCATTAAAATCTCTGGTTGGCCCATAAATGCATTATGGAATATGGTGGGCTGAGAAGGATCCATCAGACCAGTCCTTGAATTCAGGGCAAAGGAAGGACGCTTTCTTCGGCTGCACCGGAGGAYTCTTGCGGGTGGCGAATTCGACCTTCGGAGGACACAGCTTCTCATTTTAGACAAAGCCAATATTTAAAATCTAAATTTAAAATGAAACAAAATGGGTAGTCCCTGTGGTCCAGCAGTTTGAAGTGCAGCTCAGACACSAGCCAGAACTGCAAGTTTGATGTCTTGTAGGGAAGCTTTAGCTGCATTGGAGCTAACGGTTGCTAATGTCTCAGGATGATGACATCATAACATGAGCCGAGCACCAACAGCAAAGGCTGCGTTCCATTCCGAAATACCTAAACAAAGTTCAACGTTTAATTTTACATTTAGATTTAAACATTTAGATTTATGATTTAATATTTACACATATATATTTTTTAACATTTAAATTTAACATTTAGTAAAAATTAACTTCATGTAAGCACCGTAAGCTGAATAATAAAATGTTAGTGGAATTTTTAACACTCAAAAAATGAGCTAAATAATGAAAAAATATGTTGAAGTTTTTTAACATTTCATTTCACACTGGATTCCCTCACTTTTATGTAAAAGTTCTGTAAGAACTAAAAAAAGAAAGGAGACAACTTTCTATTTAACCAGTTAAACTCAGATTGTTGTTTTGTGTTTAGGTTAATGACACTTTAGCCTAAACTTGAGTTTGATTTCCTGAATCAAAGCCCCCAAATTAATGAATCCCAGATTGAAATTTTTTAAGTGTTTCTACAAACAATCTGGGTTTGAGGACGGGCTGGTGCTTCTCAGGCAGCAGCTGGCACCCTGTTGTTGTTTCACTCTGCAGGCCAACGGAACAGATGGTGGCAAGTATTTAATGCAACAAATGGAGAACAAGAGGCTTTGGAATATTTCTCTCGTGACATTACGTTTGATGGCGTTGCTTAGTTTTGTCAGCAATTCAAGGTGCTCAGGCAAAAATTTACAAAAAAAACGTAACATTTTTAGGGAAACAATATCACAAAATACCTGAAATACTTTTAAACAACCCCCCTCTGTTATCAGACTGAGTTATGGTCATCTGGTGATGTCGTCCTGCAAAGTTTTTGTTTTCTCCTTCGGCAGGAAGAGGTGAACAACTTTGTAGTGGTGTTAGTTTCATGTTGGCTCACAATTTGTAGGCAGTTTGTGCTGAGCTGTCAGACACAGTTAGGCTCTTTGTCAAATCTGTCAGAGTCATGTTRGTGGCTCCGAGCAGCAGCAGCACACTGGTCCTCTGTCGCAGGGATCTGATCCACCATGTGATGAAATCCCAGAGGGGTGAATATATTGTAATCCTTTGATAATCCCTGCCAGGCYTCATGGCTTGTAGCTTGATTGTTGTGTATAAACTTATCAAGCAGTACTGCACAAGAGGAAGTGTTTGTGTGTGGCTCTGTTTCATGTTCGGGGCTGAGCTCCTCCTGGAAAACACCACTTCCAGACAGACAGGTAGACTAAAGGAGCAGACTGGTTCTTCTGCAGAATCCCTAACACGATGTTTTTACAGTCATGGCACATCTAAAGAAGAGACATCAGGTGTGTTTGACAGCCTGTCTCCATCGTGATGCTCCATGAAGATGCTTCCTAGTAAATATTGTTAGAAATGACATCTTACTGCTTAAACACGCTGAAAAGGAAACTATCTTTATTTCTTTTTCAGTCCCCGTGTCCGTTATAACAAATTAATCCCTAAAGAATTTGGAATAGAGGTTATAGAATAAAGATAAAGAGTTAATTGAATAAAGGTTTCAATATATATCAAGTGGAGCATCATGGTGAAATGTCATTAAGTTGCACTTGTGAAAGTAAAACTGTTGGGCTTCATTTGGTCACTAAAACATCAATTCTGAGTTTCACATGGCCGGACAGTACATGGTTAAAAAATACACACACACACACACGCACACGCACACACACACGCACACACACACACACACACACACGCAGCAGGTAAAATAAGTATTGAACACGTCACCATTTTTCTCAGTAAATATATTACTAGAGGTGCTAATGACATGAAATTTTCACCAGATGTTGGTAACAACCCAAGTGATCCATACATACAGTTGTGGTCAAAAGTTTACATACACTTGTAAAGAAACATAATGTTATGGCTGTCTTGAGTTTTCAAT